TTGTTGTTCTTCTTCTTCTTCTTCTTCTTCTTCTTCTTCTTCTTCTTCTTCTTCTTCTTCTTCTTCTTCTTCTTCTTCTTCTTCTTCTTCTCTTCTTATTGTACTCTTATCATCAATAGTTTTTATACTGTTGTCACTTTTTTTTCTTTTGTTATTATCATTATTGCTATCATTTACTATACATGTACTACATACCTGCATTATCATTGTTATGGTTTTGTACTCATCATCATTGTTTCATTAAGGCCACAAGGGCCACAGTTACGCTGCTCTGTGACGACCCATGCTGTGCAATCCAGTACCGTTTCGATTCCCCCCCCCCCTTACTTAAAAAGAAAAGTACTATTTGACGAAATGAGTGACTTCTTGCAACCCACGAAAATAAAAATGCTGCCGTAAACAGCGACGCATCAGATTTATTTTAGACGTAGAACTGATCCTATTTTCTTCACCTTTACGGGAAATGTTCAGGGCAAAAATCATCTGTTTTTAGCTTTATATCGGATTGGCTACATCAACGTATTGGGAATTGATCTAGATCCGACGCGTTACTTTTACCATGAACACATTTTTGAAACACGGTTTTAATCATTAGTAGCTAGATCTAGCCCCCTTCCAAATTACATACAAATTTTAGAAGTAAAGAAAACTTTTGCTTTGTTGATCGACTGATTTTTTACCCTGACAGCCATTCATAACAATCTAGTAGATCTTTTGCTAACTAGTTCAGCGTGGAGGTCAAACTGAACTTTCGCCAAGTCAGGAACACAGGCACTCTACGGTTTATTTATAACTCCAACGTTTTTCCCCATCGGCATAGAATTATCCTAGTAAGCCGTGGCACATACGCTTTCGACCCCAGGATGCAACATCTGCGTGTTTTGTCACCCGTGCACAACACATCTCCGGTTTTCGTAAGCTGCTGTCACTTGGAAAGGGGGTGGGAAAGAATAACTATAACATTCTTCAACTTTGACAATGTTTCAACTGATATACTGAGCAGGTAAAAGTATATTTCATTCCTCGGTGTTTTGTTTTTGAACTTGTAGAACCTAATGCAATCGTAATTAAGTCGTAATTATCAGCTGCTTGCTGACCTAAGTCTAAGTTAGCTGACTTAGTAGAAGAGACAAGATTTTAACCACATAATGCCACATTCCTTCACTTTTACAGTTTTTAGTGATCGTACATAAGTCTCTTTTCTCTATGACTTGACTATGACTTAGTTTGGGGCTAGAAGTGATTGCGGTCAATTTCTATAGCCAGTTTGAAGTTTTCAGTTTTCCTCCAATTGATTTCATATCATAGTTATCAATGGGGCGGGGGGAAAAAAGGTAAACATCTTCAGAATCGTACATTAGACACAAGTAGATAGATTGTGTTTCGTTAACTTGTGTGCTCTGTTTTGAACTTTCATCAAATTCAGTTCTTACAATCAATCAATCAATCATTCACTGTTATTGAAAGTGTCAGTGATAAGTTCCATCATGCAGGGCACATTCAAGCCCTGAGGCAAAGTGGGCCTGTAACAAACTGGCATGTTTCCTACTGTAGACAGTGTAGGGCACCTCTGGTGGCCACGAGAGAAGGGGTGGTGGGGAAAATTAACATTGGTACATTTCAGGTAGGGGGTAAATAGTACGTTTATAGGCTTTCCTTTGCGTGCATTGGCAAAATCTGATAAAAAGCTGGGCTTGTAAAACGGGGTGACAGTTTCACAGGGTTTGAGTCTATGTTGTGCTTTCTTGACATTTTTGGTTTAAAAAAAATTGAAATTGAAATTGAACCATCAGGTGAATTCTTGTGCTTTTGGTCTGCATAAATAGCTTCCTGCTGCTTAGAGTGTATGTGCTTTCTGCAATTTCAATGTAACTTGTTTGTCATTGAACGCGATACCAGCTTTTGTCTGCAGAGGACAATATCAACACCTAAATCCTCATTCTTAAGGATTTTTTCCAGATGCTTTTTACTCGTTTATTCTTTTCAACCAGGAGAGATTGTATGTCTCCAGTTCTATTACACAAAACCTCTGAGGTCGTTCAACTCTTTCCATCTCTAATGTGAGAAGCAGTTGTGGCTACATTGCTGCACAGCACCAGCACAGATGAAGCCCCACATCATGACAAATGCCCACCTCCTGGTGAAAACAACTTGTGCTTTTACAATACATGTATTATTATAATGCGGATAGGTCGAACACAGCGAAGAGACGAAATCATGCCTCCGTGGAACTGTGCCTGCAGCCTTGGTTTGTTTTTTTCTTCTTTATCTTTATAAGAACTGCGGATTCCTCGAACTGCCGAGGCCGATCCCAACAAATTCGAGTTATCCGTGGTATATTGTACTTTTACAAAAGGCCTTACAGCGAAGGAAACATAGCACCATCACACAAGGGAAGGCTTTCTGCCCACGTCAAACCCCTGGTTGCCTCATAATTTGTGAAGCACAGATGAGCTAATGGAGATCAAGTGTGTGCCTGAGTGACACAAAAACAGAATGGGAGTTTCCATAAGTTCACACCTGGTGGAAGTGCCGCACGTAAGACAGTCTTTGTGACCAAACCAAGAGTAGCAGCAGCTTGGGCTATCTCTACTGCAGACTGGACTTTGGGGGACTTTGGCACCCTGACGTTTAGGCCGTTTCTGAAATTGCAGGTCTCAACCCGAACCACGGACAGTGGCACCAGAAGGAATTGTACCCAAATAGAGAGGGCAGAGACTGCCCTAGAGGGTGTTGCTTAGAAAAGCAGGAAAGGAACCATCTTTTAGAGGAGGATAAAGGGACTGACAGACCTCTCTACTGCCCAGGAAAAGTGACTGATTAGAAATAAGGAAGTCCTTCTGAAATTTATGGCTGTGCTTTCCTCTTTTGTCAACTTGATGTCGCATGTTTTTGACAAATTTCCCTGAATTTCTTCTTTACAGTTGATGGTACTACCCCTAAATTGACCTCTCTGTAGCACCACACTAAGACTTGTTGTATTTTTGGGGGATTTTTTCCCTTAGAATTTGAAATAAAAGAATTGGGTCCATTGACAAATGGTTAATTGTCTTTAAACAATTTAATTCACGCTCCTGCCTGTTCCGGTTAGAAAGTAATGACAGAATTAGTATGTTTTTTTTCAAGTTTTCTCAAAACGACAAAAATTAAAGGGTATGGGTTGTGGCCCGGACTCTCACTTAAAACTCAAGGGCCGCAAAGCTCTCTTAAAACAACACAACGCCTCTAGTTTTTGGCAATTATATGACCTGACTGTGTTACAAGAGCCTTAAAACTCTTACTAAAACTTTCTTCATCCAACGTTTCCACGGACAGAGACAGAGAACCACAATGGGACAATCTATTGTCCCTCTGGTCACTGTGGCCATGATCCTGGCCGGACTGCATGATGTCACAGCCCAGGGCGCCCCCTATTCCCCGGCGGGTGACGTCAGAAACTGTCTGAGTGACACGTCGCGTGACGTCAACCGTTTCGAAGTCCTGCCTGGGTCAGGCTGGGACAACTTACGTAATGAACAGGCTGGCATGGTGGTGGCTCTCAACTACAGGTATGCTCACGGAGAAGGTATTTATAAAATAATAATAATGTAATAATAATAGTAATAGTAATAATAATAATAATAATAATAGTAAT